TGTTGGCAACACTTTAGTGAAAGTAGTACGGTACAAATCCTATAAATATATTACTCCGACTTTGTCCACTGTACGCATGCTTTTGAAAAATAGATATTTGGCTTGCATCTGAAAAATTATTAAAATTTTAATGTGAGAAAGACCTTCGCCTTTTATTCGTCGATTGATTTGTACAAAAATTAAACTACAGAGCTTTTATCCTGCTCTAAATTTAATTCGTATCTTAATTAGTTTGATAGCAATTGCATTTGTTTATTAAAAGCATGACAAATCATAACCACGTTACTTATTTTGCTCTCCAAACAATTTTGATTTATTGATCTGATATACGTACCTATTGTCGAGCGATTAATAATTGTAAATTAAAATAATTTACCAATCGGAACGCAATAACATTTTTGTAAGTACCTATAAGTTGCAACCAAGGATGTGTTCTGATCAGGGGCGCAACGACGTTACAGTTTGACTGGGTGCTCCCATCATAAAAGAACTTTTGGGTGTTTCATTCCCACCAGCCAGTAATGCTGGTGGGCGGGCAGTCCCTCCAGACTACGCCGGAAGGTAGGGCGGAGGGCCCTCTTCAACCTGCTTTCAGGAATATTGGGAATGGGTGGATGGTGGTTCGGGTGAGAAAGTTGAGACGGACGAAATGAAGATAGAAGAGAATGAAAGATTATCTGTGGAATATTACTGCCCCAGCGTTTGCCTACGTGATCCAAGAAAACCACAGAAAAACTTGGATCAAGGAAGACGGACCCGGAATCGAACCGGCGTCCTCCCAAACGCTAAGCAATGGTCTAAACCTCTAGGCCATGCCGCTCGGTACCCATCATAATACTATAAATAGTTCGGCTGTTCTTTTTCGAACTTGAACTATTTGAAACGAACATTCAAGTTGGGTTATTATAAGAGTCGACTGGAATTGACTGGGTGCCGAACCAAATGGAGTGGTGCTCAGACACCCGCGGACCCCTCCCCTCTTGTCGCGCCCTTGGTTCTGATGATTGTTTAATCATGCTAATCTATATTTATTATTGTATTTTTAATAACTTCTTTTAAGTATTAATATGCTTCGTCAAACATTGGCTTCTTCGGACATAATTAAGGATAAATATTTTCACATTAGGGCTGCTGCAAGCGTTGATCTTATATTGTTTTGCTTTGAAAACGAAGACAGCCTTGGCAAGACCGTCTGTTCAAGATCTTAAACAAGTATATCTCATTTTTGAATTAGGACTACCGTCGACGCAAAAACAAAATAAGGTTACGTTGGTGCAATTAAAATGTAAATAATACACAACAGACTATTTATTCATGCAGCTTTTATTAATCTTATTGGAGCGAGTTTTATATTTTTAGTATTATTTTCATCTAAATTTTTCCACTTTAAATGTTCATACCCGTAAAGCTTGTTCACTGGGCTACCGAGCGGCATGGTCTAGAGGTCTAGACCATTGCTTAGCATTCGGGAGGACGCCGGTTCGATTCCGGGTCCGTCTGCCTTGGTCCAAGTTTTTCTGTGGTTTCCTTGGACCACTTAGGCAAATGCTGAGGCAGTAATATTCCACAGATAATCTTTCATTCTCTTCTGTCTTCATTTCGTCCGTCTCATTTTTCTCATCCGAACTACCACCCACCCATTCCCACTTTTCCTGAAAGCAGGCTGAAGAGGGCCTTCCGCCCTACCTTCCGGCATAGTCCGGAGGGACTGCCCGCCCACCAGCATTACTGGCTGATGGGAATGAAACACCCAAAAGTTTAAAAAAGTTTTTGTTCACTGGGGACATGTGTTTCGCCCACTCTTCATGTCGGCATTACCAACGTGGGTGCAACACGTGTTCGCAGTGAACAAGTTTTGTACTAACTAGGGCGAGTCACTTCTTATAACTCCATTTTCTATTTTAAATTCAGTCAAATTCAATTAAAACAATCCAATATTATATTGGACAAACCAAAGGATTTTCAAATGATAGAGAACATAAAAACGAATACAATAAAGAATCGGGTTTTCTTTATTTTTTTTTTTTAAAATAATCCAAACTGTCAATTCATATGAAATCAGTAGTCACTATGCTTTAATGGTTTCAGAAAAAAGCAAAGAAAATGAACAATAATAATTAACAATAGTAGACAATCAGGTTGAAAAATCATGAGCACCCACGAGACTATCTAAAAGTTGGCACCCCTGTATCATTTTGTGTTTGATCGGTTTAGTGTTTTTCGTCTTTCTCGACCCTAGATAAAAATGTTCAGTATCTCAGAGTCTCTGAAAGCGAGACTCGAGTCTCCGCCTCTCACCAAGTCTCTCTGGTATCGCTGAGAGAGACTGTCGAGTAACTGTCAAAAAACCTGTTTAGCGTCTCTAAACGAGAGACTCGAGTCGCTCATAGAGAGATCCTCATTTCGTATTCAGTCTCTGAACGAGAGATTTGAATCTCTGAATTAACAATTTTATCGTTCGAGTCTCTCATACAGAGACTGTGAGAGATCCATAAAAACACCTAGGCAATAACTGAGGGACTGTGAAAGACTGTGAGAGACGCTGAAAGACTCTGAGAGATTGGAGAGAGACTGAAAATTTTTGTCTACGGAAGCTTTTAATTTTAAACTCTCATTAATACTAGTTAATATTGAATATAGAAGTTAATTTCTACAAATATGAAATTTGGAGGTAATTTACTAATGACGTGATGATCATGTACAAAGGTTTTGTTGCAATTTTAATTTCGTCAAAATAAGAAAAAAATATAATATTTTTTTAATGTCTTTGTCTGTCCTAATTTTAGTTCCAGATATAAATTTGCTCCATTTTTGTGTGAGCCGTCAGTCAGAGCGGATGGTACTTAAGTGTATTATACACGAACGCCCACCGCCGAAGTTCGAAAATTTCATTACGTAGTTTCGTTTTCGTTCTCCGGTTGACTGACAACAACATAAGGCGAAACATACAAGTCCCATGTCACTAGATTTGACCACATGCGAGAGAATCCGTCGCGACCGCCGCCCTGGTCGTAGTATTCTCTGTATCATGATTTATATAAATAGCCGCGAAGAAGATTCATCAGTCGCCGGTTTCTGTCGTGTATATTATATATGTACTTGCTCTAAATAAATTAATAGAAATGTGCATTCGAACAGACAATGTATCCACTGTTAGAGATCCCCTTGGTAAAAGAGCAAAATTAAGACAGGAGAGTATATAGATATGTATCTTTTGCTTTCTGATGGTTTGTTGGAGCACGCATTCAGTCTGAATTATATCATTCAGTCACTATAGTTGCATTTTAGAAAACGTTCTCTTCTTTCGTCTTATTCCTTTCTTCTTCCTTAAAATACAAATGCAAAATGCAAAATTCCAATCTCCATTTTTTGTTTGTATTTGGTAGCTATTCTGTTATTGCAAACTGCAATGGGTAAATGTCTACTGTACTCAAATCAAGCTGAGTTGCCCGAACAGAAAATTAGTGGGGTTAGGATCCGGATCGGTTTCAGCACCCCAGCTGCTCTATAAGGGCTAAAAGAGGATCAGGATCGTATCAAGTATGTATGTAGAATCACCTTACACGATCCTGCCTAAGGTTGAACTTTTGAACAGGTTATAGGTATGGAACAGATTAGAGTGCTTTGTATAATACTAACTATAGATAAACCTTTATGGGATAGATGAGGTACCACATATGATCCTGACTATTAGATTAATCTATACGTGGAATGAGTTGTAGAGATTCGACCAGATTGACGTGTATGGTGCACATCTTGATACTTACCCCATAGACTTCGAAATAAGATCTTTTGATTTGTGATTTATAATTTAACCTGAACTTATGCTCAACAGAACTTATATAATAACCCCGTTCAGATCGCGCCAAATGAATTTAGATCAGTTAATCTATTTCGAGTATCTAATACAGAATCAAATTTAACACATAACAAACTAGGTAAGATATTGAAATAGAGAAAAGTATAACAAATCTAAACATAAAGACAAAAAAAATTTGCTTCAAAGATTCTAGTAAAAGTGCTTGATTGCTATAACTTCAATTATCATTCTGTTTGTTTCCTTTTGAAAAATGGATAGAAACACAAATTCAACTCTTATTTTAGTCCTAAAGATGCTTTATTATCAGGCCAAGTGCTTCTAATATATTTTAGTTGATTATTTGCTATTTATCATTATGTAATATTGCTTTACCAAGTAATATACACTAGAATATTCGATCAGTTTTTTGAAATCATAATTTACTAAAACTCATTGTTGTTAAAAGTGTCTTTGTTAAAAAAGTACAGGTCGGACGAAGGAAGCTGGCGAGCGGTCGCGCAGGTACTTGCCCATTTATGACCTATTTGGGTAAGTCACTTGGAACCGATATACAAATAAGCTTTTAGATAGGACAGTAGCGTACTAGGAAATAATGTACAAACATAACTTACCAAGGAAAAGTAAACCTATTGCTTTTGTTTTATAGTTAGTTTTCACATTCACTGTCATCATCGGAATCTCTATCACTGTCACCAACATCAACAATTAGTTCTTCTGTTTGTATGTCTCTTACTTACTCATTGATCCCTGCTTTTAAATATTTAATCTACGCCCCTGACAGGAAATACTGAAGAAAGAGGGTTGCAACCGCTATACCTGAAAATGCCTACTTTTGCCACTGCGCATCCACGCCATTTTAAAATTTCTGCCAGCTTCCAGCGTCAAGCCTGTATGCATGTGAAAATTTGATAACCGTATATATTGAAATGCCGAAAAATTGTGTGTTAATTTAAACTTCATTTATAAATGCTTTGATTCGGCCATTTCCGCATTACTATGAGCCGCTTTATTTTTCGCTTGAAAACCGTGGAAAACTACAAAAATTGAAATTAGAAATGCTGCCTACTTTTTCCAAGAAAAAGATATCTAAAACAGGACACCCGATTATCAATACATTAGACGAAAGAGACGTGGTACTTTAATTTGCGTTTAAATATGTAAAAATGTAACAATTACTTACTGTTTTAAGTTCAAAGTCGTTCCGGGTGAAGTGTCACCACCACCCGTATCTTCACTGTCGCTCACTTGTCATTTTTGACGAGAGAAGATGTCGAAAAGTCGACTTCATGAAACAACACACATGAGGTCATCATTAAAAGAAAAACAAAGATATCTTCGCACGATATCGAATTCGTTGACTTTAATTTATAAGTATACTATTTTTATCAAATTTTCTTGGAAACTTCGTTCTTGTACTCTGTACTTGTATTATTCATCGTTTTGTCACAAAATTAACAAAATTCAGGCTATTCGAAATTACTTTATTTGAATTTGAAAATTTTGTCTTCCACATTTCTTCTTGAAATTTTTTATAATAACTTTCAGTAATAGCTTCACTACCGAATATTATTAGTTGACGTAAACTACATATTTTATTTGTACAAAAATAAGACAAAGATACTAACATTGTTTTGTAACGACTAAGAGAAACAATAAGTTAAAGCTGCAACAATATCTCTTATTGTCTGTCATAGTTTTAATTAATAAATTCTAAAATATTCAACTCATTTCCCCCTTTCAATAATTTTTTATTAATTTGTTTAGCGTTTCTAATTTTTGAATGACCTTCAATCTGTCCTGGATAATTTATACTATGCTATACACATTGCTAGTACAGGCCCATTAATAAAAGGAATTCACAACATTTCCGAGGGTGCTTTCATACGATAAAAATAATAATGTTATTGGTCATTTCTCAGTGAATTTAAAAATTGGCTAAAGACAACCTACTTCGCTGGCTTTACATTTCTACTTATTCTAAAATGGTGTTTGGTGACTGGTTCGCAAACCCAAGCGCACATTATACTAGAGAAATCTTGAACATTATGGGAGATTTCAAACATTGTTTTGGTTACTGGTCGAAATGCCCTAATTTAGAGTCAAAACCCAGCTTCACCACTCATACATAATGGTAACCGAACATTCCAGAATGTTCTCGATTCTTGTGGTCCGGTTCACTTTAGAACATTCTACTTTAGGACAATCATAGATATTCGAGAACATTCTAGTTGAGAACCACCCTAGGAATACTAAAGAACATTCTATCGGGTACATTCTCACTTATTATAAACTGGTGTTTGGTATCTGGTGGTTGAACCATAAACCCAACACTTATACATCAAACTGGACAAATCTTAAATTATAAAAGATTCCAAAAAGCTGTTTGCTCGAAATGTATATAAAAAGCCACAATACATTCTCATGATTCGTACGTAATGGTTCGTGAGTATTCTTGAACGTTCTCCATCCTTCCGGTCCACTTTAGAATATTTTACTTGAAGGCAATCTTAGGCATTGTAGCTGTAGAATATTCAGGAATATTATAGTACATTCTCACTTATTGTAAACTGGTATATGGTGACTGGTCGACGACCCAAAAATACTCACGCCGCTCAAGTTGGAAAAAATTAGAACATAAATGATTTCATTTTTTAAAACACATTGATCGAAATATGAAAATGCTCTAAGTCGACCACATTTAACTACCTTATCTCCCATACCACCACAGCTACCGACATGCAACCTTTGTGGTACTTTGAGAGACTTAAGGGTATGTTGTGGCTGGAAAGTGAAGTACATGGACGCACACGTCTATTAAAACGTATATTGATATTCTTATGAAAAATATTCAATGTAACATATTTACGGCATAAAATGAAACATACGTCGATATACTTCCCGAGATAAAAATGTTCAGTCTCTCAGAGTCTCTGAAAGCGAGACTCGAGTCTCCGTCTCCCATCGAGTCTCTCTGGTGTCGCTGAGAGAGACTGTCGAGAGACTGTCAAAAAAACTGTTTGGCGTCTCTGAACGAGAGACTCGAGTCGCTCATAGAGAGATCCTCATTTCGTATCCAATCTCTGAACGAGAGACTCGAATCTCTCAATAAGTGATGTCTCGATAGACATGGTTAAAAGTCCAACATATTTCAGAGATCCCAGTCTTTCTACGAGAGACTCGAGCCTCTCAATTTTTCAGTTTTATTCATTCAGTCTCTCTGTGAGAGACTCGAATCTCTGTATTAACAATTTTATCGTTCCAGTCTCTCATACAGACTGTGTGAGATCCATAAAAACACCTAGGCAATAACTGAAAAATTATGAGAGACGCTCTCAGAGACGCTGAAAGACTCTGAAAGATTCTAAGAGACTGGAGAGAGACTGAAAATTTTTGCCTAGGGTCATAAGTAGCATCGATAGATATGTATGTTGTTTATCTAACAGTTAAAAAACTATTGTTTTAGAAAACCCCTTAAGTTCTTATTAGAATGCCGTTTACATGTGGTTCGTTGTCAAACCATCTGGTGTTTCCAGTCGCGGTAGTGGTGGGGGTGTAATTATTCAAATCCTTTATCAAATTAATTGATTAATTAACTGTCGCCGGCGTCCAGATGACTATTGTAGTGATACTTCCGCGCAAGGTGTGCTATTGTATTTTAAGTGTGTATTTAAGAGCCGAGCACGTATGACTTTTACACGGATACCCTTTCCAACTTTATCAGAACACTTCCGCTGAAGATGTGTGTGTGAAGGGCGCGGGTTACATAATTTATGCATCTCTGACCAAAGGATTACGATGATTAATGAAACGTAATGTCTAAATGTCTAATAAAATCCAAATGAAAGTTACGGAAGCAATATTGTAGTAAACTTTAGTGTTACGACAGCAAACCAACTGTAAAACAGTCATGTTCTGAACGCCGCATACGCCAGCCACTCTCTAAACGAATTTTATTTTAATTTTCTAATTTGTTAAACGGATCGAAAAATTAGGACAATTACTATGCCAGCAGAAACGGTGCTTCGCCTTTATAAATGAGTGTACATGTGCACTAAGGCATTGATATAATTAATAAACGACCGACGTTAGATAATCCTACTCATACCAAATGCTAGACACTTTGCAAATGAGGCATTAATTTACCCCTCCTGGTTCTTATTCGATAAAATTCTGTAACGTCTTTCTCCTATTAGAAATGCAATGCCTTAGAGCCTGGAGCAAATTTTATAGTTCAGAGTAATAGATAATTCTTTTTCTGGACCTACTGGTGAGATGATTGCTTTTTGTGATCTCATTAATAATAGAGAGAAACTATTCAATAATTTTTCAGATTTCAGAAAAAGCAAATGTAAAAACAAATCGCATCATAATCATATGAAGAATGTTGCGGTGGGGGTTTAGTCTAAAGTAAATATAAACTTAAACATATATTCTAGTTAGAAAAATTAGTGAAAGACGTGACTGATTTTAGGTATCTAGGAAGTCAGTTCAGTCAGGACGGAAGGAGTAGTAGGGATATAAAGCTTTTATGCTCTCGAACGGTTAATTTAGAAATTCGAAAAAGATTGTTAAAGGTGTATGTTTGGAGCGCGGCGCTGTAAGGGCGCGAAACATGAACGGTGGGTGCGGCGGAAAAGAAAAGAGTAGAAGCGTTTGAAATGTGGTGTTACCGGTGAATGATCAGGATACCGTTGGTGGAGAAGGTTAGAAATAAAGAGGTATTAGGAAGAATAGGAGAAGAAAGGACTCTATGGAAGTCAATAATAAATAGGCGAGCTACATTGGTAGGACACTTTCTCAGGTATGAAAGTCTAGTCAGAGACATATTAGAAGTAGAAACAGGAGTTAACAGAAGTAGGGGTAGACCTAAATTAGATTACTGTCCACAAATAGTTAAGGATGTAGGATGTTCTAGTTTTAGGGAATTGCGGATAGGAAAAAGTGGAGGTGCGTGTCCAACCAGTCTTAGGACTAATGACCGTATGATGATGAGGATAGATAACGTTAAATAAAAAATCACAACTACGAACCTAAAATTGCTGTGCATGTACGAGGTGTGGCAGAAAACCTCAGATCCTTTGCCTTCCAGTTTCTTGATACCATTTCCTGGAAAATATTACTTAGAACAGTTACGGTTTGTACTTAATAAGAACAAAATGTGTTATTTTAATTAGCTTTGTAGAGAAGCGGTTCTTAATATGTGTTGGGGCGGTTTTTAATAAGAATACGCAAGATTCTGTGAAAAGCAACCGTTTTGTATTTAACCCTAAAAACGCCATATTTTTCATGACCAAACCAATAATAAATGTCGGAACCCTAACGGTGTTTTTGTGAATGAAACAGATAGACGCATAAGACTATTGTCAGTTTACTATTTTGTTGTCAAAATGGGGTTTCACCAAAAAAGATGGATCAATATGGATTCAGTAGCAAAACAAATATGGAAATCGCTTCTTTAAAGAGCGACTTTCGACATTCTTCTGCAAGCATTTTGTTAAACATTAAGGGATAAACAACTTAATAGTAGGTAGATGGCGACTCTCTGTTTTCAATTGTATATGTTCTTATTCTTATGGTTTTTTTCATATTTGCCGAAACTGTTATAAGTTTGAAATCACGTTTTATGTTTTGCAATTTCCACAAATTTATTACCATTGGTACTTGGACGTGTATATTTTATTGTTATAGAGTCGACTTGATATACAATTAAAACTTTGTGCAACGAAAGACGCTCTCAATAAAATAAGCATAAGTTATATCTAGCAGTAGTATTGTTTCTTTGAAAGTTATATATGTGTAGATGTAGATAATATTTCCTATGAATTTCTTTTTCTGTTTGTAACAAATCTTTGTAGGTAAAAGCCAGTGCTAATTCCTGAAACGATATTTCAAAATAGATAAGTAGTTCCACTTTAGATCAAGGGTTTCAAGCTATTTTACTTCAAAGGTTCGCTTTACATTTTTAGTGCGTGTCTATGATATCGGTGACACTCCCACCGCTTTGGTTGAAACAGAGAGCGCTTATACATTTCCTATAGATATTTACATCACATTTAATTGCTTTTGAAATTATTTTGAAGTGTCGAATACTTGAATATTATATTCAGTCATATTTATGAAGAAAAAAAACTTACAGTACAAAGAACACATTACAATACAAGCTCTTTGAAGAATAATAGCAATTTTTAAAGTTGGAAAACAACTATACATTTTTTGTTCAATTCTTATAAAATAAACAAAACTATTAAGTA